GGCACTCTTTGGATGTCCGACGGGCCCTGCGGATCTATATTAAGCGGACGGCAGTTTTCCGTAAATCGGAGGCCCTCTTTATCTCTTTCCTACCGGTATCCTTGGGCTCCAAGGTGTCTTCATCGACCATTGGCCGTTGGATCCGGCAGACGATATCCAAAGCATACGAGTTACTGTCTCTCCCGAGACCATCTCGATTGATGGCGCATTCTACCCGCAGCGCTGCGACATCGGCAGCCTGGGCTACTCAGGCCTCATTGCTCGAAATATGCAGAGCGGCTACGTGGACATCGCCTTCTCCATTCATTCAACACTATAAAATTGACAAATTTGCTTCAGCAGATGCCGCCTTTGGCCGTAGAGTATTACAGCGAGTTGTCTCTGGGGAGGGGACTTCGGACCAGACTGGTCCCACCCGACCGTAGGGACGTGGATCTTTGGCATGTCCCATCCTGACTGCTGTCTCCACCCACAATGGAGAAGGGGCGTTGGTCCTACCTGAGACGCACCTTCTCGTTGGGTGGAGACAGCAGCCAGACCCTCCCTCTCTTTCGCCAGTCTGGCCCTTTTTTTTTGGTTTCTTACCTGTCTTTTTTCTTTAACCTGTTCTTGGTGTCCCACACGCCGAGCCTGTCTTCTTGTCCTCGCCAAAAGCTGGGTTTGCCCGGTAACAAGGGCAGGACTTAGCAAATTTGATGGGCTCAGTCTATCGGCCTAACAGATGACCACACCCATCCTGGCTGCTGTCTCCACCCAACGAGAAGGTGCGTCTCAGGTAGGACCAACGCCCCTTCTTCTTTGAAATTCACCTTGTATTTGAAATAAGTCTTCTGACCATTAAGTTAATCAGCACTCTCCAGCTACCTGCCAAATTTTGTCTCATTAAAGAAGATGCCGTGTGCACTTATGGTGGAGCCATCTGCTTAATTTTGCTTTTTAAAAAACATACAATGGGAGTCAATTATACTATTATGTAACTTGGCTTCTGTGTATGAGTTCAGTTAGCTCCTAACATTGTTATATGACTGAACAAGCAATTCAGAAAAAGAATCTTGAGAGTAAAGATAGAAAAAAGGTGAAATACTGAAATATTATATTTAAGATTTACAAACAGTGCTAAGATATAAGTGTCTGAGCTGAATGACATTTTAAACTCTGCAGGAAACTAATCTAGTTAGTTAGGACAGTCAACATTCTCTATCTAAAACATATCTGTAGGTAAGGAAAGAAAGTTTCATAAGGTGTTCAATTTTAATAAATTTATGACAGTAGAGATCTATAGCTTGGTCAAGAGTACCACAAGCCTGAGCAACAACCACAAGAATCATCTTCACTAGAACCAGAAATATATATGTAGCACACTTGTTATAACTCTGTTATAGATTTGTGCTGGTTCCTGACTATAATAAATATTGAAATTGAAACTAAATCAGTGGTGGGTTTCAAAAATTTTTACCACCGGTTCTGTGGGTGTGGCTTGGTGGGTGTGTAATAGCTTGGTGGGCGCAGCTTGGTGGACATGGCAGGAGAAGGATACTATAAAATATCTATTCCCTCCCCAATCCAGGGGAAGGTTACTGCAAAATCCTCATTTCCTCCGGATGAGCTGGGACTTGGGAGGCAGAGAATAGATGGGGGTGGGCCAGTCAGAATGTTTACTACCGGTTCTCTGAACTACTCAAAATTTCTGCTACCAGTTCTCCAGAACTGGTCAGAACCTACTGAAACCCACCTCTGAACCAAATGTGTTATAGAAAATTGACAAGCCTCTCATTTTCTCACTTATCCCCACCCTCTACCAAAGATGTAATTTTAAGGTTATTATCGTCTAGATTTATGCAGCTTCGAGTCTATGCATAGCTGCAAGGTAAGATTTCCATTCAAGAAATAAAGATAATTTCTCCCCATAAAAATGGTTAAGAGTGATTGAATAAATCAGGCAGGAAAGACAGGCAGAAGAAGTTGCTATTTTGTATCCATGCTTGCTGAACCACTGAAATATTTATCAACAAAATTGGGTTCTGCAATTTCAAAGGCTGTGAAATGTGTGAAGAAATAAATAAAACGTGGGAATAATAGTAGTTGTATCAGAATATTAACAACTGCTCAGAACAATTTCCAAGAGAGTGATTCCAAAGAGAAGTGGTGAACTTCCTTTTATTGGACATGCTCACCAGAACCTAAACCTTCATCTTTTATTTATTTTGATACCAACATTGCTGAAAAAGACTAGATAGCCAGTTCTGGGCTCTCACTTGACAATTAGCTGAACAAATTAAGTCCAGTGTTAAGCATGTTTTCTTGCATAACACATAAGCAAAAGTACTACCTATTGTAATTAAATTCAGTTCATTGGTTTTTGCCTGCTTATCATCTAAAAGACCAATCACTTAATGGGGATTGTTGTACTTTAGCTGTGACTACAGGAAACACAAATATGTAATTCCTAGCATTCTGCCTAAGATACTATTTCTCTGTTGATTTATTTCTCTATGAAGGCACAGTTCTGCCTCCATGCAAGAAGCCCACTTCTGTTCTATTAGCTCTGGAGGCATCTATGAGGGAAAAATGCCTCCGTGGGACACATCCCTGCCATATTAGTTAACAATACAGAAGAACGCAGATCCCACATTTATCTATTGAGCAATGTGTTTATTGACGGTGGGATTTCAGACATGCTGACACCTCACAACCCATTGACCATATTAGGATTTAAGGATTTATGTTTTGTCTTCTCTATGTTATTTCTGCTCTTCATCCACTAGATTGCTAATATTGGAGTCATGATTCTGCATTTGTTCCCAGCATACACATTATTCCTTGTAAGGTGCAATTGCCTATAATTGGATGCTAGTCTTTGCCTATTCCTATATTTTCTTCAGCAAATCTTCTTTCCATTAGTGTTATAAAACCTGCTTTGCTATCTTTGCTCAGAATAGATGTTCACTATCTGGAACAGTCAGATACATAAACAAACTGGCTTTCTACTGGTACTTCACTTGGAGTTTTTGTTCTGATGCTGGGCTCTTCTATCAGCACTTCTGATTCTTCAGTACCTTTGGCCAGCTTCCAGAAGTTTGCCCAATGCCTGCCCAATCTTTTCCTTCCCAGAATGGACCAATCCTGGGTTTCTCCTTTAACATTTTAAGTCATCCTGGCAGTTCTGTTGCTTCCAGCTCTGAAATGCTGGAATATCAGAATCTTATTCTGATATGACCATACAAAATTTTTCCAAAGGATTCCTTCTGTAATAGATGCAAGGGCAGCCTCATTCTTTAACCAAAATGTTTTACAAATATAACATAAATGTGTTTCTACACTGAGAGTAATAATAATAGGAGTGCCAAGATAGTCTATCAATAATTTTGCATACATCTTCAGCTTTACCTCTCTCTCTCTCTCTCTCTCTCTCTCTCTCTCTCTCTCTCTCTCTCTCTCACACACACACACACACACACACACACACACACACACACACACACTATGCTTTCCATTAATTGAGGTGGAAGTTAATAGAAAATAGATCAAAAGTGTAATATACACGAACTTCTATTTGCTTAATATCCTCAGCTACTGTATGGCACATCTGCTTTGTCAGGTGAATCCAGCACTCATGCAAAATGCCATATGGCCTCATTAGAGACTTGATAAAACCAGACAGAAGCAGCAGAAGAGGTTTGCATGCAATCTTGCTTTTGTTTGTTATTAACTGTTGGAAGTTTATCAGAGAAGAGCATCCAGAAATATATATTTAAAATGGCTTGCAAAAGTGACCCGTCCCTCGCTTATAATATAACCTGACTCATACCTTTTAAGTTGTTTTAACATGATATGTCACCTTGATAGCAATTTTATTTTAACTAATTTTGACAACCATTTGAAAAAGATTTCCCTTTTTGATAAAGTACAATTTATATAGTGGATAATTTGGAATTTAAAGAATGTCTTGAATGGCTGGAAGATTTACAAATTAGATTTGCCATAGTGAAGAGTTGCCATAGTGAAGAGTTATGGGATTAAGAATTCTCTTAATTATGAAGAACATAATTAAGAGAAAGTGAAAATATAATGACATTGTTTATATTTCTTATGAGGAAGATGGAAAACCACTTTTTTATTTCTATTTTTTCTTTCTTTTTTGTTTTCTTGTACTTTTTATTTTCTCTTTTTATTTTTAGTGTCTGTTTTCTTTTGCTATTATAATTAATACTTTTAATGTTTTTTTAAAAAAGAATATTTTGACTGAAGATTAGGAAACAGTCATTTTCAGGTTAAGAGTTTAGAAGCTTTCACTCTATGGCAATAGCAACCAATAGTTTGCTGCTTTTTCTTCTTTTTCCAGTGCAATTTAAAAAAAGTGAAGTACAGATAATCTTCGATTTACGACCACAATTAAGCCCAGAATTTATGTTGCTACATGAGGGATTTGTTAAGTGAGTTTTGTCCCATTTTACAAGAGAGTTCACTGCCTGAGGAGAAGATATCAAAACAACATACATAACCCAATCAGACCAGGAGTTGAATTTTACTTTGATTCTGTGATGGGGTAACATCTTTAATCCGAGTGATGTAGACTAGCTTTGGGTTGCAGGAAATGCCAAATTAAATAAACCTCTGTTGTTTATTCCCTTCCTTTCTACAGCCTGAGGCAGGTCTCCCTCTTGATCTAATGGGAGATCCAGTCCTGCATATCTGATGTTGTAAGATATTTAATTCAATCTCTATATTTTATGGAAGAAAGTTGGAGATAGCAATTTAGATCCAATAAATGATGTTTGAGGGAAAACACATATTTAATATTTCATGCTTGCTTTTCATGCTCTCTTTTTTTTAAATGGAAATTAGATTTGCCTTTACTCATGAACCAAGTTATTCATGATGGCAGTGTCAATGAAAGTTCTTTAAGTAAAGATACTAGGATTAATATCAATATGTGTCTCTGAATAAGGGATAGCAATAACTTCAATTGTTGAAAATGTTCTTATTCATTTTTCATGCAGAGGACAAAGTATGGACTACTGTGAATCATGACTTACAAGAGCGTTTTTCAGTGGTGAGCAACAGACCAGAGAAGCATGCTGTGCTACAGCTCAATTACAGTGCCACCATGGATCAAATCTCAGCCATCACTGGTAGTGCCGAGTATTGTGAACAGTTCATCTCCTATGTCTGTAAGCTGTCAAGGCTGCTGAACACCCCAGGTAGGCTAATAGTAGAAAGCTATTGCTGCCCTTATACAATTTTTCTTACTTGGCCATGAGACCACTCCAGGGGCAAGCTAAAGATGGAATGTTATTGCTACTGTTAGAAAAAACTGCTCATTTTTGCAAAAAGTTTAAATCATATCCAAAATAAGCTTTGAAGTCAGATCTACTTATATTGTTGCATGCAATTTATGATGCAGAATATTTGAACATGAAACAGTGAGCATGAAAACCTGAAGAGAAAAAGCAGGCATTCTAATTACACATCTTCCATTCGGACATCATAATTGCTGTGGTCATTCCTTCTGTATAAAAATGATTAGTGTTTGTTTAGTCACTTAATTACAGGTATACAAAAATGTAAACATTACATGGGTTGAGAGAAAAACATAATGTCCATATTCTGAAGAGCAGCATTCATGATAAACACTGGAAATGAGAAAATGTGTCTGAAATTTTCAGTACTTGCCTTTCAGCCTGGTAAAGAATTATGTCATCTTTTTTGTCAAGGGTGGACAATTTGTGCTTTGGGAACCATTCCAAAAATTGCTGAAAAATGTATAACCGTCAGCACACTCTCAAAAGCCAGATCTTAACCTGGAAAAAGTTAAACATCTATGTACTGTACTGAGGGGGGAAAGGGGCTGTCTTTAATTGTTAAATGTGGTGTGCAAAACCAGCATAATTCCATTTTCAGAATACCACATTGCAATATATTGTCCTATATATTTCCTCCCTCATCTTAAAATGGGTATAATACCTGCTATTGCATCAGCCCAAAGTACAGAACTATCACCTAAACAAATGTAGAAAACATTTAAATCAATCTGAAGGATATACTGATTTGTGAAATTTACGTATCAAAAACAGATGAATTAATTTTGCTCATAAGTAAACATTTAGTGTAAGCTTTAAAATAGTGCTATTTTCAATTTTATAATCCTAGTAGCAGACAGTTTTTAAAGAATGTCCTCTTATTTTACTAAGAAAATATTGATTACATGTTTTACTTCCTTTTTTAAAAAAAAGTTTTTTATTATTTTTTAAAAACATAAACATAAAACACATTTTTTCAAAACAAAGCTTTTGATCCGGTCACAAATTAATACAAATCACTAACAAATCTTAATTTTCAATTAACACAACTTAATATTTTACTCAGTTGTTTCCCACCATTTTATCTATTTAACTATGCCATTATCCCCAAAAACCCGTTCCTTAAATCTTAAATCCTAACCAATTATAATTCCATTTATCTCTTTCATTTGCTTAGATGGATATATTTTAACAATATAAATCTTCACAAATATTATAAACATTCATAAAGTAATTAATTCCAACATAATCATTTTATTTTTACCAATAAACTCAACATTTATAGTCTTTATTTCTGTTATTAAACCTAATTTATTCATTTCATTTTAACTATTAATCTCAACATACTCCTCCTTATTTGGCTATCCCACCTCATTTTATTTTGCTATAAAACCCAACATCTTTATCTTCATCTTTGTTGTTAAACCAATCATTTTTATTTCCTGGCTGTTAAATACAGCATAATCATTTTATTTTTAGCTGTTAAACACAGCATACTCATTTTTGTTTTTTGGCCGTTACACGGCATATCCATTTTTATTTTGGCTGTTACACAGCATAACCATTTTTGTTTGGCTGTTGAGACACAGCATGCTCATTTTGTTTTTTGGCCGTTACACGGCATATCCTTTTATGTTTTGGCTGTTACACAGCATAGTCATTTTTGTTTTCTGGCTGTTACACAGCATATCTATTTTTATTTTTTGGCTGCTAAACACAGCATAATCATAGTTGGTTTAACTATCCCTACTTAATCCTTTCTTTGTTGTTTCCATCCATCTATATATTGTTTATTTTCAGTTAATCATATTTATCCTTATCCTTTTTCATAACAATTTTGAGACATGGTTCTTGCTTAAAATATATCTTTAAGTATATTTATAAATTCCTTTTAACATTTTAAATTAACCATATTTATCTTTATCCTTTTTCATACCAATTTAACATACCAATTTTTTTCTTTTTCCAGTCGTGTTTATCTTATTTCTTCGCCTGCAAACATATATTTCCTTCCATTTTCAAAGTTTTCAATTTTGTCCTCCATAAGTCATATTATATCTTTTTGTTATTTTTATTCCAGATATAATATATCAAATCTTCTCTTGGGCCTGCACTTAGTCATTCTTTTATTCCTGCACCATTTTTTTAAGTTATTATTGTTTCAACTATAGGAGTTCCATTATAATTTCTTTTTCTTTTCACAAAAGTCAAGCGGCCTGCAGACAGGGAAAAAAACCCTCCTCCACAAGATCCCATGACTTTTATCTGTAGAACTCAAAATTTCCCATAGCAGAAAAGAGTTACAAAGTTCCTTTTTGAACCAGATGGTGTCCCTCTACAATCCACATTTTCCATTAGTCATGTGAGTATCCATTTTGTGCTATTATGTAACAACCCAATTTATTTCTTCTTCTTTTAATTTTAAAAGTATCCAATCTTCTTTTTTTAAAAAAAATCTAATTCAAATTTTAAAATATCCAGTCTTTGTCCCATACCTCGATATTTAATTCCTTTAGTTCTATTCAAAGCTTAGTTGTTTATCGGGTCTTTGTTTCTTTAAGGTAACATTTTAAACTTTCAGCCCCTTTGTTATTCAGCTACTATTTTATAGCTTGGGGTCTTATAGATGTTAATTTTGCTCTAGGCGTTGTTCTAGCCTGGGTTGGTTGTCACTCACCCGGCTTCAAAGAGCTCCATTTCTATCTACTTTCCTCCAGCACATTTCTTGCTTGGTTGTCCCAGCTTCATGGCAGCTGCTATGGCTGCCGCCCCCCGCCGCCGATTCACAGAGTGCTCCCTCTGACCTCCGAGGAACTTGCTGTTCTTCTTGGTCGTCCGAGGTGCCCCTCCTTTTCCCCCATCCTTACAGGATGGTTCTGGTCCAAAAACCCATCGGCGGCGTTTTGGCAGCCAGCGTTTTCGCGGGGCTCATCAGAGTCCACTATTTCCCTGACTGTCTCGCCGCAATGCCAAATCGGAAATCTTTTATTTCCTTTTTTGTGGTAATCATTTCAGGACTGAAAATATTCAATAAAATTAGATATATTATTGTATTTTTCTTCTGTCTCTTTCACATCCAGAAATGTTAGAGAGGAAAATATCTTACAGTAGATCCTTTTAATACATTTTAAATATACATTGTGGGAGGGTATAATGCACATTGTACTATGTAGAATAAACAGCACTCATCAGCAAGACTGATTATACATGGTTATATTATGAAAAAACAGAAGTGAATTATTTGTCTTTCATTCAATGTTCGTTTTTGTTCTAAATCCCTTTTTGTTTACTGTTTGAGAATACACTCCTATAATACATAATGGTATTTCTACCTATCGCAGATTACAAGTGTTTGTATAACTTCTTTTCCATGGGGATTTCACAAATAAATCACAATAGATCAACAGAAAAAGATTGGTTAAAATTTGGATTTATTATTTTGTGAACTGAATAATATTTGTGACATTATCAAAATAATTGTTTCTGCTCAAAAAATAGCTGACAATTCAGATGTTTGTCTTTTGATTGTTGTCACATGTTGGCATACTTATATTCTTGTAGTAGTATGTATAGAACCAAAAAAAATGTCGGAACTGCAGATATTAGCCAATTAGACACACCAAAGTGTTTAACCCATGTCTTTAATTGCAGCAAATCTAATTCTAGGGGCCAAATTATCACATTGAGCAAATTAAACAGTTTAAAATTAATTGTTACTATTAAAAGATCATTATGTTTACAAAGGACAAAGAAGGCCATAGAAGCAACATTCATTTATTCTTCCTCACTTTCAGTTAGTACAGCAGGAAGAAGGAAGAGACAAAAATAAAATACAGCTATACTTTCTTAATGAAAATAATGTACTCTACTGAAAACCCATCCATTTGTTGTTGTTGTTGTTGTTCAGCTTGCAAAACTAATAAAGGGGGAAGGCAGACTGCCTGAAAATAGCTGTGATGAAAGAACGCTAAAACACTAGATGTGTGACATATTGCCACTAGTTCATTTTTCTGATTATTCATATCTGTAGAATGGCAGGCACCTTTCCATTCCACATTTAGTAAGACTTACTTTTACATAAGTGGATACAACACTTCAGCTTAATATTTATGGATAGGAATGTTTAGTGGACAATTGTTACTAATAGAGTGTGGGGATATTTCTCAACTGTTTGGTATATTCTTCTTTTTCTAGTATTTGAAAACATGTTTCCTTTTGTACATATTATTTAAGATAACATCTGACATATCAACTCTTTTGGAAGAAATATCCATCTGGTTCAGTTCCAAACCTGGAAAAATATAGTGGAAACATGGAGGTTGATTGGAAATATGGTTTAATGATGAAGCAGAACCACATGGGTTCTGGGTAGCCAACCACATGGAGTTGAGAGTGAGGGGTATTTATACCTTCTCTTAGGCTTTGCACTTTGCAAAGTTTTTCCTGTGCAAGAACATGTATTTTTTTGGCTGTTGTGGACATGGGGACATATACAAATCCTAGGAGTTTGTCTGACCTAAGTTTGGTTGAAATTTGAACTGTTGGAGGTGGTGCAACTGAGATGATGCAATGAAGGGGCTTTGGGCAATTACTACTGCAGCTAAGGGCCGCAGTTGGATCTTGGGTGAAGGTATTTGTTTATAAATACAGCTAGCTATCTCTTTATCTCTTAAGTGCTGACATCTGCTGAGGGCTATTAAGAAAAGTGGGGGCTGGTTTCCAAGAGCATGTTTCTCCCTTTCTCATCCAGGGAAATATAATATTCTGCCTTTTCAATATTTCTCAAAATATTTCATTCTTCTAGGAGAGGGGTGGGTGCTAACTCTCTACAACTGCATAACAAAATATGTTTGATAAATAAGCACTGACCACTTGGCTCTGTCCTTGAGACAACAACTGGT